TATTATTGACAGTTATTAGTGGCCTGGTATTTTACGTTCATTTATACGCGTGAAGTAAGGGATTTGAAATGAAAATTATCATTTACGGTACTGGATTTATTAATAATTGTTATTGACATACGCCAAAATCTATAGTCATTTTTTAGCCAGTGGATGATATCCAGAATCTCAGTATGTCGAACTTAAGTCTTTCCCAAATAGAAATCGGCTCTGTTTTCGATATTTTATGTACTATATATAACAAACATTAAAACTGATTTTAATATTTTTATTTCAATTTGTTAATTCTTTTAATGACTATTTCTAAAAATTACGTCTTATTAGCACTTAGCTTTATATTGATTAAAAAAGGACACTGTATTATTAAATTAGTATATTAAAAAAGCTGTTTTATTAAACTAAGAATATTAATTCTGACTATATTAGTATAGTTGTCTTTAAACTGGTTTCATTTGCTGATTCATCCGAAATTATTTATTACATTTACACCAAAGACAAGATACAGGGGGAAAGGAAAGAGTTATTTAACCAAAGAGTTCTTCTCAATTAAATATTTTTGCCATATCTTATTTTAACCCTATAACTAATATTTCATAGGTATTTTTATTGAATTACAGTCCAATCCTTAATTTTATCCATAATTCACTGCAGATGGGTTTCTACAGAGACATTGCTTCAGAATTATGTTGTTATTGTATACATTATTATCTAATTCTCGTACATATTTTAAGAATACCTTCCAATTCTTTCAATCTGATACTGACAGAGTACATCCTTCCATTAACCTACATAAGATTTGTATTCCGCAACATAATACAGGACATTTTTAACTCTTCTTTTACTGTTCAAGCTACACGCTAGAACGCCCCGATACCGCTCGAAGACCGCCCCGATACCGCTCGAAGACCGCCCCGATACCGCTCGAAGACCAAAGCAGCTCCAAATAAGTATACATTTAAAAAACTAATTGGAGATACCTATTAATTAAATAATTGATTTTATTTTAGTTATGTCGTTTTTGCTTTTTATTATCCATAATTTACACAAATAAACATGTTTTATATATTTACATACCCACCTATATATTTGAAGACATGAGTGGATGAAGGGGATATAATACAATTTGTAAATGTTGAGAAAACGGGCATCAAAGTTTTGTTGCTTGTTGTTGAGATATATCGTTTTTCTTTTTGATTATTTAATAACTATTTATGTCAAATTATAGTAATTATTGACACCTACGAATGATAAATGTACATAACTCCTTCATTCATTTCTTGATAATAAAGAAGTTTCATACTTAATTTACGGATGAATGAATTAACTACACAATTAACGTAATAAAACCAAAAAAAAAATACATGTGTGTCGGGCTAATCTGGACCTACAAAGTGTTAATTATTCCGTTTTCAAAAATTTTATCTGTTCTTTACTATTAGCTTTCTTTTCTTCAGAAATTGTACCATATTTTCTTTGTACCCGTTCAACTAAAAAGTCAACCGAATTGTTCTACCCCTATCCACTGAATACCGTCCCTGAAATTAACCCTTTGCTTGTTTTCGTCTTTTTTTCTGTTTATCAAATTGAGTTGATTTTGCAACTAGTTCATTTTACGATAATGATCCGTCATATCGATAATAACATTGTTTCTAGATACTTTGCATATAATCTCTCGATATTGCTCAGGCGTATATATTGCCTCATGCTTGCGCATGATCTTTTACATGCGACCAAAATCTCTATCAGAGTCCAGATAAGAATGACCGACATCGGGAAATTTATGGTCAATGATTTTAAAATAACCCTTCATGATCATGTCTTGGTAGATATTTTTTTTATTCTGTCCAGCACAGGAGTCCGACCACATAAATAAACGATTTTTTTTTGCGACAAGATGGATTCACTTCAACAAATCTTAGTAGGGAGCTATCATCTTCAACAATACTTCTGTCGGCTACATCTTCTGTCCACAGCTTTTTGTTTGGTCGGGTCACTAACATGGATGCCCAGATTATAATAAAATTCCGTATAATATTAACAAAAAAAAACCGGCTTCAAACCGGAAACTGAAAAACATTATTAATACTAATAACATTTGAGGATTGCCCTCGATTTCTCTGAGATTCCATCAAAAGATCTGGATTAACTTATCATGGTACCACACTTGGGATATCTCCTTTCCAACAAAAAAAGAATCATCAAAATCGGTTCATAAACGATGAAGTTATCCGCGATTACACAAAAAATATATACGGTCGAATTGAGAAACCTCCTCCTTTTTGAAGTCGGTTAAAAAAACCAAATCTGGCGTAAATAGAATGCCTTAGAAGTCGTGGCATGGTGTGTAAGTCTACTGTGAGGTATAATAATCCATTGTCTTTTTTGGGTCAATCTGTTGTAATGGCTTCAATCGCAGCGTGGTAATTCAAATGAAAAGCATGTAACAGCTTTTCATTTGAATTTCTAGCATCATAAGTTGCACATGGGGTATCCAAAATAGAGATTAAATTCAGTAACGAAAACTTTTTTTATAATTATGTACTTTTCTTAATTTTATATTTTGCCGATAATTTCAACTTCTCAAACATCGTTAAATAAAGTTCGTGCATTTTAGTGACTTTTAAAAGGGGTGACAAATAACTTTTATATATATTTTTGCTACGTGAGTATTGAGACTGTTCCGCCGGAAAGGTTGACATACGCAGTTTTTTGCGTACCTCTTCATCCGTTTTATGGGGACGATTATTGTGTCTGCCTCATCTATCTGGAAGTGGAACAGAAGCGTCACTGTTGATTTTGTGGATTATAATATCCACCTTCTTCCGCGATATTTGGTACAGACCACACAATCCCAATTAGCAATCCTCTGTTGTTATGCTTTTGTTTTTTATAATATATTTGTATGTCGCAGACTTATTTTTTGAACATAATACGAAACATGATACGAAATGGAAGAAAGTCACAAGTACATCACATAACACCATCCAGAACAACGCAAAGCCCGCGCGTGTTTTCTGGCACTTACCTCATTCATCCGTGCAAGAAAGTAATATACTTATATAATTTTAAATTAAAAAATATGCTAAGTGCATAAGTGCCCATGCCTCTTGCTATCTCTAAAACTAAGCTCAAACAGCGGTGTTTTAAGGTTTAATATAGTTTTTAAGCACATAACACCTTCATTCGATGCAAAAAACAGATTTTTTCAAAAATGTAACATAACCCCTTCATCCACTCATGTCTTCATTTAATTAACGAGAAGATGGTTAGTAATATTTATTGTGTCTATAAATACTGGTTACAGAGGAAATTTACTTATTTCTTATTTTAACTCTTCGGTTAGCAGTTAGAACCTGCCATTTGCTTTTCATGATGACAGGAGTTGACTGGTTGGTGGATATTAGGCATTAAGTCCCGCACATTGTGGCATCCCGCCAGATAACAAACACTACACACACTGTTAGTAGCAAACACCATAGTTCGTCCCCGCCTTCGAGTCCGGCGAAACCAACATAACGCGTACACTAGGTACACCCGCGTTCCAGGGCGGTTCTCACCGCCCCCAGCCACCGATTAACCAAGCACGGTTCGCACCGAACCACGATAGCCCGTAGGCAACACTCCTTAGCTAACGCACGCATGAGCACGTCCGTGGCCCTACCAACTGTTGAAGGCCTCAAAGTTGTAGCCTGTGGGTTCTTGCTAGCACACCGGTTCTGCTTCCGATGAAGCTTTAATAGTCTCGGGACTGAAAGCGTGAACAAAAAAAAACATTGTGGCCCTCAGCTTAAGGTCTAACAATAGTTATTTAAAAAATAAATAAATATTAATTGCCCTAAATTCTGAAAAGAAGAAGAAGAAAATATCAAACCTGCACAATATGCCAGATCTGGTTTAGTTCAACCATAATTCAATATGCAAGCAATAAAGTGATGTACTACTTCTTATTGCATATCCAATATCTGTATTCCTAAGGTTTGATATTATTGTAAATAAATTTTTACCTATTTGATTATTTGGGACGTTCGATTCTTATCTTCACACAATTCGGAAGAAAATTCGAAATTCGAAAACAATTTTATTATATTATACAAACTTTTAACGGCTAATTTCAATATGCTACAATTTAATAATGCCAGGTACTAGATGGCAGCATCTGCATTTATGTAGGAGTTTAAACATAAGAAGTTAAGACTCATTTTGTCTTAACGTCTGAGAGATAAGGTCTATTTTTGAATGTTGGTAAATATTTTGTTTTCAATGCGCTTATACCATTATTTCCCCGTAGATGGCGTAACTTGTTTTTCCAGCAAAACTACCGTTTCTTTGTAAAATAAGGTATTTTGTATATATAATCTACAGGTTTGCAAAAAATAATTATAATATGTATACGTGGAGCAACCAGAACTAAATATTACCTTAATAGCCCCATATTATTTGCCACTGTGTTAAGTATTTTTTTTAACATAACGTTATTCCTTTACCTTTACTTATATTTCGTGTTAAATAAACGTTAACGTATTTATTTTTATTTATACTTTATTGCAAACTTTTAAATAAAAAGGATTACAAAGGGCGAACTTAATTCCTTTTGACATTCCCCCCCTGTCAACTCGTAGGTACACAACGCATTGTAACATGAAAAGGCTTTTCCTTTTCATATATTATAATTTTCATGTCCTAAGTTTCCATCACATTTTTATTTCTACATTATATTGTATTAATAAAAGAATTCTTCTCTAAAATAAACTGTCTCTTAAATTTGAAATAAAAATGCCGGTTACAAAATTTATATTTTATTTAAATTATTAAGGACTAGATCAATTGTATCAGGCGATTAATCGCTTTCTCTTTTATATGCACAAACAAACAAATATGGTATATTCTGTACATCTCCCCGCCCTTACTCTGACGCAGGGAAAAGGGCTGTTGGGCACTAGGGCCAAGCGAACGGTTCAGCGACCGCAAAGCGAGTCCAGAAGTTCCTTGTAACTCGTTCAACGCGTTACATCAGGTTCTTTTGTCGTTTCATTGCTCTTTTGCGACAAACTGGCGGTTTCTATAATATTAATCAATCTATCCAATCCATATAGAAATCCCTCCTCGTGGTTTCCTTGTGACCACGGGGCGCGGTGGTTGACCACAATGTCTTCTGGCACACGTCGGGTCTTGGCGAAATCAATCAGCCACGCGCCCACGCGTTCATTATCGTAAATGATAAAGATGCTGCTGCCGACGATCTCGTGCGAGCGGAAGAATTCGGAGCGCTCGAACAAGTCCCTGATCTCGTGGAGGCGTGCTACGATTGCAAGACGAGCGCGCTCGTCGTCGCCAAGGAAGCGTGCGATCGTAGCAGCGAGCTGATGCGGCTCCCTAACTTTCTGCAGATCCGTGAGGGGAGGCTGCCCTGGCAGTTTGACGGCTTCAATCCTGAATCCCTGCTCGGCAGATGAGGATCGCTGTTCCCTGAATTGCATGTAGCGTAGTTTAGTGATAGCGCGAGCCGCGTGCTCGCTTTCGGTGGGAGCGTTTGGGTCCAATCGCACCATTTTCTCGTAGAGGTCCTGACGCGCGCGTGCATTGCAGACCTCGTCCTCTAAGAAGGTGCGCGTGCCCATTTTTATGTCCATGACGTGGGGGTCACGGAAGCCATGTAGGAGGTCCTGCAGCTCGATGAAGTGCTCGCCGCCGTACTCCAATTCTCGGTAATAACGCGGGATTGCGGAGCGCATGTGCGGGCAGGCGGCGAGAGCTTCGTAAGCGTCGCGCTCGGGGTTATGAGCGGGATGGTCACCAGCCGCTCGTCTTTTCCAAACGGTGCCCGGACCCGCGGGGGCCAACGAACCCGGGTGCCCGGACAGCTGGAACCATTCCGAAGATCTGGATTTCAAGAGCGCATCGGAAGCTGGTGCCGATAACTCTAATGCGTTCTGTAACAAACAATGAGTCTTTATTAGCACGTATTTTTAATGACGCTGTAAAGATACGAGTGACTTGATTAATATTGGATCGAGGTCAGAACAAGACTTATTGAATGTTTCGTGATTTGATTACGTAAACCAATCTATTTATAAGTTATGTTTAAGCATTACAAAAAAGATCGAACCAGTTAAATCTTTCGTTTAATTTTATTTTTACTGAAATGCTTTTTATTAAGAGAATATAAAAAGACTACACTTACAATTGCTAGAAATTTGAGTAAATCTGAAGGCTGCGACGGCGGTGTGGTTGGTGCAGGAACCACAGGAGCGGTCTCGTTGGTCGAGGGTGTGCGTCTCCAACGCTTGAAAAGCACACCTTCGTCCTTGCCGCGCCAGCGTTCTTCTTCCTTGCCAGAAGCAACCTGAGAACAATGAAAAGCAACCGTTGAACCACAATATCACAAACCGGAGCACTTGCGAGACATAAACTTCACTGTTATTAAAACGAAATAATATGTTATCACAGCACGAGTTAATAACGTACCGCTATTATTTTGTTTGCGGCATAAAGCAGTCCACCGGGACCGAGGCGACTCAGTACCGATTGGCGGGAGACGCTATTCATCTTGCTGGTGACCGTCATTGCTTACGAGTGTATGCGACGAAGGTACGGAAACGACTGAACGTTCAACGTTGTAGAGAAGCGCGCGAGTAGCGATTAACGTGCGTGAACAGATGTCTACCGCTAGCTTGCGAGTGGTGCCGGTGGGAGGGTCGGGAGTGTTTATATAGAGACCTCGGCTTTCTCGTGACGTCGACGCCGCGCCCGCACTCCGCAAGCCGCCCGCCACTTCAATAAGAAGTTTTCCTAGCTCATGTTTTTCTTACAAATTAAGCAACATTGATAGTTCGATGTCCATCCATAGCATAAGCATAGATAAAATGCTTCTTGTAATAATTTTTAGTTAATCGATGCAATTACGGTTAGCAAATGTTCTTTATTGTTGCCTAATTCAGCTACCTTTTTGACGGAAAAATGGTTAAATCTATATATTCAATTTTAACCTGTTATTTTGGCAAGTGTGAATTCTATAATGTTTTGTATAGCGGGACTGTTTTGTAGTCAAATATCAATGGAAATTCTCTATTATTGCGTGCATTTGCATTTTAACAACAAACAAACTTTTGCGCATAGTCAAGAAAATCGATTTACACACAATAGAGCTAGGAAAACATCTTGAAAAATGTACACGTACTTGGTGAGAAAAATATTTGCAATGCACTTATAGTACGTTTCTTAACTGTTTTATACGGCATAATTAATATCTTTCAACTTAGTATAGAGCTTGGCGAAATTTTCTACATTTTAATTATTGCCTATTTTTATTATAATTAAATGTGTGTGTTAAAGTGAAAATCATAGCTTTTTAAATCGTAACGTTTTCAATATAAAAAATGTGTAAACTTCAGATTATTATTTTTTCAATCTAAACTCCAAATATGACGTAACAAGCAGAGGCGTTTAAATACGTAGATATGAAACTTAAGCAAATCATAAACAGACTACAAAAGCCATCAAAACGAATAAGTACATATGCGAGCGGCTGAAATTACAAGTATAGGAAGCGTAACTCTGTGACGTGCGCTATGTGTCCTTAGCGAGTGACGTCGGGGGAGGACATGCTCCAAATACTATGACGCCCGAACATCGTCACAATTCGATCTTCGTAATCTATCCTTAATTTTTTTTTATCTAGCTATGTGTGTTTCAAGAAGATAACTCTCAATTACGCGATATTTGTGAAAGCGAAAGTCGTGTTAATGAATGTACATGAACGTTAGCGTCATTAAGATAATTTGAAAGACGTCATGAACATTTGTGTGCTCTTTTTGCTTTCTTGAAATGCCGTTACTGTTGCTTCATCGTTATATGAGTTAGATATAAATTAATAAACTCCGTCTTTGTCTATTGAGAGTATGTTTATAGGTGAAGAATAAAAAATGTTAAGAGTAAAGAAATGATGTTCCAGAAAATCTGCGAACTGACTTCATCGTTAATTGACGGCATTGTTCAGTTTCCATAATCTTTAACTGTTGGCATACTATTTATTTTATTTGTAACTGGTGGCAATTCTTTTTTTTTTTTAATCTGAGCAGTCCTTGACTACGATCCTAACGAATGGTATGGTAGTCGGTAAGTAGTGATGTAGCATTACACGGTAACCGCACTAGCTCAATAAAAACGTTTTCACTGTTTCCTTGATTATGACACTAACGTTATGATCGGAAGGCATTGTTCCACTCCTTTACTGTAAGTATTACGAAAAGGGGGCGAACCTCTTTTTCCGAAAGCGGGAAAATTTATGGAGGAGTCTAGACAGCTCAGTGGATCGACGTGTTTAATGATATTCAAGTATTAGGTGGCCGTATAATCTCCTGAAGAATATAGAAGAAAATAAATATCAAGTATTTTTTTTCTTGTATGAATAATACAATTGAAGAATTTCATAAGAGCATAAAATATATGATTAAAAACGAATGCTCTGAATGTACCCACTAGAATTGATGGGGCTACCATGGATGGGGTCCATTCTAGTACTCTATGTATGGCATCTACGGCATGACGAACATAGATTTTTTATTAACTTCGAAACGTTGTTTATAATTTATTCATTTTGCTAAATAACTTTTGTATCTACATTGTATCGATATTTATTAAAAATTATTGTTTTTTTACTTATCGGTTGTTAAACGGTTGTAATCACGGAATACAAAAAAAACTCTTACTATGTGGAAGTCAATGGGGGAGGCTTATGTTCAGCAGTGGACGTCCTACGGCTGATATGATGATGATGTCTAAAAGCTGAATAAATAATTATAAAATATGTCATTTAACGGTTATTACAACTAAACAAATCCTCCATAATATAAGTGTCATTGGAAAGAGGAAATAATTGCTATGGTTCTTACTAGAACTGTTTTGGTGGTAGACACAGTTTTCCGTAAATATTAATATCAATAGTATCGCTTGTCGGCCTAAGACGTTGGCTTAGATAAACACCACGTCATTTAATGCGTATTCTATCTCGCTAGAATGAAACAATATTGACTTCGCTTTAGTGAAATCAAAACTTAAAAAAATAAATGATGTATTTGCAGTACTCCAAGATATTGGCATTTTCAGAATAGCATTTATCAGATTTTTTTTTATATTGGATCCTTAAAGGCCAAATAAACTTTTTACGAATAGGCCATGGAATAATAAAAGTTTCAATAGAAGGCGCTAAAATGCAATATTTTTTTCCAACGAAAACTAGATATTGATAAGCCTAGCAATAAACTTTTTTTTTTTGGTTATTTAATGTTGAATCTTCTAAAAGATAGATAGATTTATTAGAGTAGTATGCGCTCCATTGCAATTAATATTGCATTAAAATTTAATAGTTATTATTTCGTATTTTGGTATCGTTAACAAAATTATCCAGAAATTTTGATTCATTGAAGATCCTGGGGGATCCTGTCGATTCATCCCGCCCAAAAACCACAATGGATCTACAATTAAAACGAAATGGGACTGACCCATTTTATTATAATCTGACAACTCATCTGCAACCCTACGTAATTGTCCATGGGCGGTGGTTATCACTTAACATCAGGTGAACCACCAGCACATTTGCCGTCTCCTTACGTAAAAAACTAAATCTCATCATCTTGGTATGCGTGGACAAATGGTGTTTTTTTCATGTTTTTGTTAAGTCTATAGGTAAGTGCATTCTAGTGCATTATGCACAGACGGCGCGTGGCTTTAATATGCGTCTGGAGGCCATGTGTTGGATGTACTCGTAGTAAACTTGCAATGGCTTTTTCGATCAACGGATAAAAATAGGTCAGGAATAACAACATGCGCAACTTTTGTCCCATAAAATCGTAAGATCATCTTATCTTACGAGTTAATTTACTTATTTTATGAAGCTAATTCCAAGTATGTCTGAGTTATCTTTTGTCTTCATTTAATTTGCATCATCTTTCAAATTATTGCTCGCCGTAAAAAGTACGAATAACTATATTTCTGAATTGTTATTTAAAGATTGGTAAGTTTCACATTTACTAATGAAGTTGATGTAAATAGTATACAGTGTTAAATTTACGTGTTTCATTAAATGAGTGAAGTTAATACACTGCGTCGTAACTTTTATAGAAATTATTAACATTCAAATGTACTCTGCGTACAAGTAACAGAAGGGTAATTTGCTTTGAGGAAACAAAGCAATCAAAACAATTTAACTGGTACATGGTTCAATAAAAGTCAAAATAACTCTGCGCAATGGCAAGTTAAAATAGCTCTGCACTCAGCATTGTTTCGTACTATTTGGTATTGGTTGTCCATTGAAGTAGATATTTAACATACGGCGAGTGTATCTTTCGACGATATTTTGATCGGCTTTAAGACTGGCGATAGATACTCCCGTAACTTTCACGTAGCGGTCCCGTGTGTATTCAATTTTCCATCACCGAATCGCTTGCGCGGTAACTATTTTTTTTTTAAATAAAACAAAAACCTGCCTTAAGGCATTCATCTATTTTTAAATGCAATATGAATTAAGTAAATAAATGAGGTAGTACGACTCGAGCCACGCGTTTGCCTTCACATATGGGATGGGGGTACAGATTCCTGGACCGATAATATGGATGCTTACAAAAGGAACAACGAACAAAAGAAGTGCATTGTCAGTTATTTTCATGTCAACGGAGTGTTCCGTAATTTTCCTATGTTTGCTCGGATGCCACAGTCGTGTTCATATTTATGGCCAAATCAAATATGTTTAACACGGGCTAATAGATTACACTCGGCCACCAGTGGCGCTTTAGCGCTTGAGGTTTTTCACATCAAAATTTGTGTGACGTCTCTTTCTTTCAAGCATAATTGAACATTTTAGTAAAAAAAAATAACAAAACCGGCTTCAATTCAAGGTCCAACACCCAATAAATTAATATGGGACCACATATGAGCTGAACCGTACCAAATTGTACGACATTAGTAGCAAGAAGTTTATATGATATTATGTTTATTGCTGGCTGTTTGAAGGAAATTAGAAATGTCTCTATGAACTTTGTCAAGTACACATTGTATTATTTTATTTAATTTACTTACTGATTAAAATAAATTAATACGAAGTAGAATAGTTATGCGTTTGGAGTTTTTAAACGATGATGTTTAATAATATAGATGACGCATGTCTATACTGCGCGGCCTTTAAAAATTTTTTCGCTTTACATTATAAGACATATATAAGTGAACGTGACAGATGATATAGAACTTATGATACTGAAAGAGATAGCACTATATATATAAGTACACCAATTGGCGTAATTTGAGCGCCTCAGTTTAAGTGCGCTAGTGTCATATCTATATTTGTATATTAAATCATTGTTTTTAACCAAATTTGGTCGGTGACAAAGTTAACAATCGGGAGTCTTAATTTTGTATTGAAGAGATTAAAGAAGTTAAAAATAAGACTGTATAAATCTTATTTTTAGCTTATTTTCTGAAAATGAACAAGCATTGTTGTTGTAACGGCGATAAAATTTTAAATATTTATTATGAAATTTTTATGCCCGTATTATAATTTTCTTTGACAAAAT